AAAAAAAAGGGCTTACAGCTTCGTTCAAAGCATCCCCAACGCCTTCAATTTGGATCATCTGGCTCTTGGCTGGATTCATGTTGCTCAACATCGTGCTCACGCTGTGTTTGTACGAAGACTTGGCACCTGTGATCAGCAGAGCGTCTGCCTCCAGCTTCTCCTTCAGCGAATGAGACACGTCCGTTCGCCTGTCGAAGTAGCATCGCAATTTAGAAATGATGAACACGCCTCTCGTTCCTCTCAAAGCATTTCAATCCTTCAATGAAAACACGACTGATCTCATGAATGATAAATACGTTTTTCGATCAGAACTTATTGCGTTGAACTTCTGCAAGTCGAATTTCTAGGGACCAGAAAAAAATTTGACTTAGGGAGGTTTTGATTTTTGCAGATTTTGAATCAAGGAAAAAATAATTCTTGCTGCGAGGATTAGTAAAAAAAAAATTGCAGGAAATTGTAAATGAGAAGATTCTGGGCCTAAACTTGCTTCTTGATGAGTTTTTACCGTGCTGACCTTGGAGGCAGGGGTTCATTTGCTTTATGTGTCTTTCAATTCCTTCCAAGATGCACCAAATTATTTGTTTTAATCATTTTCTCTCTCATATTTCACAGAAATAATAACAGAAGGCCTCAGAAAATTCGACTTACAGAGGTTTTAGGAAAAAAGAATTCGAGTTATGGAGGTTTTTAATGTATTAATCTTGAGGGAATTTGGACAGGGACATGAAAAAAATTCGAGTTAGGGAGGAATTCGACTTACAGAGGTTCGACTTATGGAGGTTCACTGTATTTTAACTTATTAAAGAACACAATTTTAGGGGGAAAATACGGTAGATTAATTTGAATCTTTCCGGTTATTGAAGTAACGTAAGCTCATGCGTTTTTAAAGTTTTACGCTTACGCTGTGGAAGCCTTGTTGGATGGATGATTGAGGTAAGTTTTACTGTACAGCGCAATCTTCAAAAATATATTAAATATTATTTTAGATTTGCATCTCAGGAATCGGTTTCATTCGGCAAATTTTATGCGCATGCAAGTACTGTATCCTCAAGCGCGAACAAATATGCATTAAAAACCGTAAATTAACTTAAAAACCCTACAAGAATTTGTTAAAATGCTTTAATCCTGTTTTTTTTCAATAGGCGAACATTCACATCCAGCATCTCTGTCAATATGGCGAGCCACGAAAAGATAGAAACAGGTCGGGGTTTCGGTTCGAGATAATTCCTAGAAAATAGTGCAATTGGTCCTACAGTGATTTCGAGAATTCTGAGAAAGTTAGGAACTTCCATCAGCTGTAAAAAAATCTTTCTCAGAGATATTCTCGCTTTTAATCATTTTTGTAAGTACGGACACTCACTTGATCTGCATCTTTTAAGTAAAAATTACATAAGAAAAAAACTTTCGAAAGATAAAAAGTATCCATATAGCGCCTTCATCGGTACTCAATTCCAGAACACAGGACGGTAAAGATGAAAAAGGACCAAAGAAACATTTCTACGCAAGAACACCTCCCGCAATAAAAATATTGCAAATTTCTTCAGATCAGTGCGACGTCATTCCAAACAAAAGGAAAGCACACATTCCTTTGCAATCAAAATTAATCCTTCGTGTGTCCAGCCATTTTTGGAACAGAAAAAAATGATTCAACATGCTCAAAATAGGCGAAGAAACTCAGCGACATGAAATGAGGCCGATTAAACGAAAGCCGACAACAGAACAGAGTCAGTCAAAATCTACACTTCGGCCTCTGAGAAAATAAAATATGTACTGTATATTCACATATACGGTACATATTTCGAATAATAAAAATTGCATGGTCGAGCGAAATGAAAAATTAAACCCCGAACGTATGTTTTAGTTTAATAACGAGATTTCTCCGGAGTTGACGCAACCATGTGCGTATTTTCGGCAATAAAGCACTCTAAGGTCCTTTTGCCATATGTATTCGAATTGTTTCATTTTGCATAAATGAACCTCACATCAGTTACATAAATTTCACATTGGTTATGGCGAAATATTCGAAGTTTTGAGTCATATTTCCCTGCAAACCTGAACTGAACAACCCTCGCGTTCAAAGCTTCTATAGAGGCCATCTTAACACTGAGTTTTCATTATTCTGAAAAGCGAACTCGTATCATTGATTATCTTATTTTTATTTTTTGTTCAAATGATGATCTGGGCAAAGTAAACCGGTAAGGAATGCGCTGAAAATAAAATCTTTCGAAAGCAACCCATTTATTTCAAGTTTGATCGGTCTCAGGCATGCAAAAAGTAAGGATATATATGCTATCCCATGTTCCATTCAACCTATATGAATCGTCCTTTAATATAGTCCATTCTCTAGGACAATTAGAAAATAAACTGGCAAACTACGAAATAACATCTTGGCCGGAGGGAGTTTATGCGTCCAAGTAGAATGTTCCGGATTCCATTCTTAAAGCTTATTTTTCGATCCTCGATTCACCAGCATAGACTCCAAGTAAACAAAAAACAAAAAAACAGGTATATGGATAATATCCCAAGATTAACTTGTATCATATGCACAAAATGGTCATTCGTCGAGGACGTAATCATTTGGTTTGAATTTTTTTCTGAAACGAGCTTGAAAACTAACCTGACAAGAGTGAGCATAAAAAAAAAAGATTTATGAGAATAATATCGGAACACGAGGAATTTTCAGGCAATAATGTGGGCTGTCGAGAACAATCCATTGGTTCGGGCACAAATTGAAAAGACAAATGGAATGGTTTCTCAAATCTAAAAAAAAAACCTGCTGTACCCTGCAGGTTCAATGTTCGGTACTGTAATTTACATTCATTGAATATTCAACCCACGAAAAATAACATTTACTGTTATCGGATATGAGAATAATATCGGAGCACGAAGAATTTTAAGGCAAGAATGTGGGCTGTCGAGTACCATCCGTTGGTTCGGGCACAAATTGAAAAGACAAACGGAATGGTTTCTCAGATCTAAAAAAAAAAAACAAAAACCTGCTGTATCCTGTAGGTAAACTACATTCATTGAATCTTCAACCCACAATAAATAACAAATACTGGTCTCGAATATTTAGTACGGATTGTGACCTGTGACACTTGCGTAGACTCTAATGCAGTAATTACCTGAGATTTATAATAGGTAACATGTGGCCTAAGAGCAGTCACACATCACGTACTGCGGACATGTATTTATCCATCACACTACTCAGTACAAATTTATTGATGCATGAAACTCATCAGTTCCCCTTGAAATCAACGGCAGTCAGTCAATTAACAGAAGGTTCCTGAAAGTCGTACATATTCGTCTCTCTTTTTTTTAAAAGACTGAACGGGTCTTGGAATTGATTTAACATGCGTTACTTTGTCGATTGTAATCTACACATTCCAAGCTTGTGTCAACAGAAACGAGCAACGGGAAAATTCTCACTCACACAATCTACTCAACTCAACATTGCAGTCACAGAAATAAATTGAGCCATGATACAGCATTTGAATACAGTATATATCGATTTAATTAAACGACCCACAAAGCTCTCTTCAAATGATTGAAACAAGCCAATTAAAGCGGAGGTATTAAAAATTCACAAGTAATGCATGAAGGGCCGGGACAAGGACAACGTCATCATCAATCCCTCATTGATATTGATATGTTAAAATTCTCCATTATTTTTCATTTTCTGAACTTATTTACGCAGATCGGAAAAAAGTTGACAACCTGTCCGTGTTCATTTGAGAAGAGAAAAATTGGGATTTGGTAATCTTCTTTGAAACTTGCTACTTTCCTTTTTTAAAAAAGCTACTCATTTTAACGACACGCGGAAAATAATCGTCTTGCCTTACTCGGCTAATTTTTATATCGTATTGCGCCGTTTGCACCAAAATTCCAGAAAAGTTTCACCATTGTTAACCAGATTCACTGGAGAACGTTAAACATTCAAATAAGCTAATCGACATTTAAATATTTACATAGGTCAAATACTGCATTTGACCATTTACATACGTTGATCGACATTTGGAAAAATCATGCGGGTATATTGAAATATTCACAGAGCAAGAAATGGAAAAGAATGTGACTTCAAGAAGTGGGAGAAAACGAGACTCCCGGAGGCCATCAAAAAGAAAGGGTTGACCAAAAAAAAAAAACACATGCTTATTTACCTCGTCCAAGATCTGGACACGGTCGCATCAGACGCACGGAACAACAACGGAAACAACCGGACGTCAATCACGTCAACGATTTTTTTTTTGGCAGCAAATCCCGTCGGGTGGCCGAAATGAAGAGAAGGAAGGGAGCAGAGCAGGACACAACAGCGTCAATACAACGTAGAGTACGTTTTTTTTTTCATGGTCCACCGTGCATATTTAGTCCATTGAATGACGACAGAATCCCCAGCAGTGTGCGGACAGGACAGCCAATCAGTAACACGACAAAACCCCCGGGACATATTCGAGGTAACAAAGAAACAAACAAAAAAAAGAGAGAGAAAGAGAGAAAAAAGATAAGCCCAACGTTTTGCAAAAGTATGGCAAGCGTGTGTGTATACATACATTGTCAGATAGCAATATTCCCCGTGTCACCAGCAGGCACATATGCATACATACATTACATGAACTGCTACCAATAACACAATAGCATGCATATGAAGGTGGAAAACGTATACGCATTCGGAAAGACGTCTTCTGGAAATCCCCCCTAAGAGTATAAGAAATCCGCGGCCAAACACACCATCGCCACTTCAGGAATTCTCATATACATTTACGGCACTTCGTGGTTTAAAAAATAAATAAACTCCCAAAGATCAGAACATTTTAAATCTGAGCAAAACGAATTTTTACTAGACGCCCCATTTATGTATTTTTAGGAAGAGCGCATCAGACGATACTCATTCTTCGTTAACGCTGATCACGATTCCATTGCTAAGAATTTCAGAAAATAAAATCCGAAAAATTATTCACCTATCATCCTAAGTCCTATACTGTAAACGACGTTCAATTGCGCAGAATAATAATACGCATTTCCCAATTTTAGCTAATAAAAAGCCTCTGCATGGAGACCTCATATTGTAACTCTATTGATTAGATAATGCCCTAAAAACTATTCATGTCACATTATCGGGGAAAATGAAGAAGTTCCCTGTATGACAGCTGATGACAAGAAAGGAAGCCTCGCCTTCTTTATTTCTCATGATTCTTGGCAACAGTGTCTGCATCTTTATTCATTCCTACATATCTTACATAGTATAAGGTCTTTCATCACGATAACTAGAAAGACTCGGGGTTTCCATTATGATGCACGTGTTATGCGGTCATTATAATAAGAAGGGGATGCACGAAAGTAACGATAGTTCACACGCTTTTGCATGAAATAATTCTGAAATTATGTGACGCAAGAGCAAAAAGAGTCCCAGCAATTAAAACATACCCGATGAATATTAAAAGCCTCGCAGAAAAATTAAAAAAAATGTGCATTGTATATTCTTTGCTTTCTCGTGAATTTTCGCGGATGAGTATACGCTGATTTCCTTGTCCGGTTGTGGCTTATTGTTTGATTCACCGAGAGATCGTAAGGAACCCCTTTCGTGTTAAAAAAAAAAGTTAACCCAACAAAAGTTGAGCCCGATTTCCCTTCAGTGTTGAACACAGATTCTTCAGCTGACCTAGACATTTTAAAATTCTTTAAAAGCTGTGGAGAAATTCATTTCAATTCCTTCTAAAAAAAAAAGTTAACCCAACAAAAGTTGAGCCCGATTTCCCTTCAGTGTTGAACACAGATTCTTCAGCTGACCTAGACATCTTAAAATTCTTTGAAAGCTGTGGAGAAATTCATTTCAATTCCTTCACCCCTAGTTTTCTCGAGACGGGAAGAAAAGTATGAACGTACAGTACAGACGAAAAACAAAACCATCGCTCAACCTCATTTCGGCGAGGATTCATGCATCCAAAAAAATGGAAACCGATGACACACCTTGAGACTGAGGAAAGAGAAAAAAATTACATGAAAGTAGGAACCCCTACTGTCTTCCTTCCCCCAAAACACAATCAAGAAACACGACGATTACGTGTCCTTCTGCACATGTGAACATTCTTGACAACCTCAAAAGAAGTCGCAGATTGTCCTGGTTTTCGTCGGTGGATCCGCTCCGAAAAGTGTGTAGCCTACACAATGCGAGTCGCATTTGAAAAACACAAAAAATAAAGAGCCGAAAATAGTAAAATAAATGACACGTAAAAAAAAACGCAACATCTCACGTCCATTCTCCCAAAAATGAATGAACTACTAAAATGGGTGGAAAAAGGAGAACGCCCAAATCAAAATTTCATGCAGAACGAGGCGCTTCTGGAAGTTCAATTTTGGCAACAAAAAAAAAAAGGATTGAAAAAGTGGAATGACTGAGCTGATACTATACTTAGTCGCAACTAATCGAAAGCTCGTTAGTTATGAAGCGTTTTGGTGTCTATTCATGTTAGTGCATCGACAATGCGAATTAACGGCAGTTCTGACTATGTGTTAATATATAAAATATTTGAGGAAATGAAAAGCTGGATCGTGAAGAAATGGAAATGTACGCACTTCACCGAATCGATGGTAAACCAAGTACTGCTCAGCTGTCGGTGTCATGCCAACATTCGTCAGTTGCCAGTTGATAAACTGTGAAAAGAAATCGAGTCACACGTGAAGATGATTCCATTTTCCTGCTATACACACATTCGAGTCGTCCAGTCTGTTTATGAAAACGACTATTTTTTCAGTGCTACTCATTCGACGGAACCCGCAGAGAAAAAAAATATGAATTCTTTTGCTTCGTTTAGGGTAAGAAAAACTGCCATCAACAGCGATGATTACGGCAGAAGAATTTCTTCCGAAATCGCTCAACAAATTTCTGCCAAAATGCTTTGAAAGACTCTGCATGAAACGTTCGGAAATTTCGGAGCAATCCTCCTTGATGTGATTATGGGATACCAAAATAACTACGATTAGAATCCCGGAAAGGTTCATTAAGTTTCATTCTCGGTCAATATTTTTGTCTTTGATTTCAGCGAGCAGTTCCAAATACGTGTAACCAGTCGCTGGAACAATTTCCATTATACTCGTATTTAATTGTTCACCCTTTACGACATAGTCTTCTCCAATTAAAAAAAATATCAAAGCTATTGTGATGCAAGCATTCAAGAAATTCAGATTATTATGGACTTGAAATTGCCACTTTTAAAACTTGAAATACAGTATAACTCATTTGACCATCGGGTGATCAATGGGATTAGTCAGTGGATCAAGGTCCGATTACTTTCAGACGCAACACGAAATTGTAAAGATTATTCAGCTCAGAAATATGGGATGGAAGTACTGTAGTAATAAGGTTGATGGACTGGTAGACAATGGTTTACACAGTCCATCACAACAGGATATGGGAGACCAGGAAAACATGTTCCAAGACAGGAATAGATTCAGACAACCCTTCAAACTATCCGATAAACTCAATGTTCTGATGATTGCGCACGCAATGCGGTCAAAAAATTTTTATTTCCTCAAATTTTGACTGCACGCGAAAGAAAGAAACCAGAAGCCTTCATTTGGGCCTAATAATTGATAAGAAAACCACTCAAATTATGTTATGATCTCAAGTGACGATTATTGAGCTTTCAATAGAGTTTTCAACCGAGGGAAAAATTTCAGCTGACATTGAATGCACGCAACAACAAAAAAATCAATCAGAAATCTCAAAAAACGTCAGCATTCCACACCATCAGAATTTAATTTTTAAAAGACTCGGGATTCTCACAATTTAATAGAAAGGTTCTCTCCGAAATCTTGGAGGACCAGGAAAAAAAAGTTAGTTCTCTATGATTTCGCATTGAAGTTTCTTTCTAAATTATTCAATCATTTTATAATTATCTGTGAACAGGCTGAATAACACTTCGTGCTTCAAATAGTTCCCAGCAATTACCTCGTGCTATCATTTTTTGATTGAAAAACAATGCCAATCCATTATTTATTTACTGTTTTGTACTTTTTTGAATTGGATATTTGCGTGAGGGGAGGGTGAGGCGATGTTTTGAGCCTTGTGAACGCCGACAAGCGGCAAATGAAGCTTATTTATCAATCAATCAATCAATCAATCAGAAACCTTCTTCTTGTCCCAATTCATCGCAAGGACGAGCGTGGGTGTGCCCAAAAGGAAAAATAACGAACCTTGTCCTTGACGTTCTCCATGATGCCAGCGACGGTCGACGTCGGATGGATCAAAATGACACCCAAAGTGCGAGCAGGATATGCCATGGCGAACCTAGTGGCGACGTTGGCCCCCGCTCCTTCACCAATCAGGACAGCATATTTCAAGTGAAGGAAGTCCAAGACAGTCACCAGATCCTCAGCTAGGACTTGCAATGTTGGAAAGACAAACCTGTGCGGGACATTCAAGAAATTTGATTGTGCGCTTCAGATTAAAAAAAAGAAAAAAAGTGGACTGAACGCGGAGTTGGAAAGAAAAATGTCATCAGTCAACGACGAAACCTTTCGAAATTATCATTCAGTTCAACCGCGAGCCCCAAAAGTATTCTCGATTAAACTCCCTGGAAGAACCAATTAATCGGAATAAATCTGAAGTATGCTTCTCCGCTACAAAATGTACTGTACTTATAACACGAGAATCTTTAGATTCATTTTGACGAGAGTGTACGTTTCTACGGCTTCGATTCTTTTAGAAAAACTATATCAAATAAGGTCGAATGGAGATTCGAATTATATTAGGTTCTAAAAAAATATTTTTTTCGGGTGTAATGTTTACTTGCATCACATTGGATTTACTGGAATACTGCACCATCAGCAAATTGATGCGCGTCATGATTTTCAAGTTCGAGTTTTCAATATTGACTATTATTACTGTACTAAACAAAATTTGCAGACTTGTAGACCCATTTAATTCATTACAGGATTTAATATCACTGGTTGGGAATGCGTCAAGAAAGGCAGCATTAATCGTTGATCAGACTTTTCTCATTCAAGTCAATTACGGAAGAACATCGGCATTCGGTCGCCTCGTGAGAGATTAATTCAATAACTTGGAGCAGCATTTTCCCGATGAACCCGGGCAATGACCTCTTGTCTTCATTATTGGAATTGGAATACAGATATCGTTCATGTCAACAGTAACTGACAGGTAGTCTTTACGAGCAGCAAATCCCACTTCTGATCCTTCACAGGTCCGATGGATTTTCCCGACAAATGTCAGGTTCACATGGAGTTAATTCCGGCTTTTCAAGATCTTTTACATAATGTCGTTATTCTATCTGGTCAAGTGATGTTTTTATCGAACTTTCCATCGAAAAACAACCGGATATGGGAGCGAATCATCATCAGCATCGATTCGATTCATATGAGATTTAAAAAAAAAAAAGCGTTCGACCTGGAGATTAGGATGAATAATGAAAACTCATTCGTCAACTGATACCCGATTACGGTTACATCGATCACGTATTTTTTGCAGAAATATCGAAATAAAGTAGCATCCAGAAACTTGGAACCTAGAGAAATTAATTTTAAGCTTCGAAACGATATTCGATTTGAATATGACGACAGTTGAAAAAGAAAAGAAAAAGGAACTCCGTGTCAAACTTCAAGAAATAGCATAGCTGGCTTCTCGTGGGAAAATCTTTGTAGGTTCTGTCGGGATTTCCATCGAAAACATTCGGGGTTTGGTTTCTTACGCTCCCAATCCCAAAGAACTTCATTCTTATCTGTCGTCAAAATGACAATTCATGATCAAGGTAAAAGAGCTCCGCAATTTTTTTTTTTACATCAGAAGAAAATCGAAAAAACGGGTTCTCTCAAAATCATTCAATGGTGCGTTACAATTTAGAGAGAAAAAGAGCACCTGTTCAGATATATTCATTCATTTTTTTGTAAAATGTAAAAGTAACTGAGATTACAAAGTAGTTTTTTCATCACTTTTCCGAAGCTGTCGATGCTACTCATTTGAGTAAATGACACCAAGTACCGTAGCGTTAAAATGGAGTGAAAAGCTATTAATTTAGAAAGATCGATAAATTGAAAAAATTCAGATTATGTGACCCAATTAGTTCAGGCACGATTTCAGCGCATACAGCCATGCACAATTCAGATTATTTTTCATCTATTTATTTTCCATTCGATATCTTCAAGTTCAAAAATTTTTATTCGTCTGCAGTATACTTCTACCAATATAGACATCAGCGATAAATATTTGTAGGGATTTGACAGACATTATTTCACCTAGCATACTCAGCTTAAACTATAACCTGGTTTACTGAAAGTGGCATAATTTAACTTAATCTAATGAAATCGGCCTAATCTAACCAATGAACAATCCACAATCCATCCACACCAACGTACTCAACAAAAGCTGAACCTATTCATAACAAATCAAAATTAAACCTACTCAAAATTGCGTAACCAACTCAACATGATAAACCTAGTTTACAGTTTGTAATTTGACCTCTTGAACTTGAATGACTTTTGAATGAAGTGAAGTACAGTAAATTATTCATGTCTCGAGGGAACATCCTTGACAATGCAAAGGAATACTCACTTGAAGGGACGTGGGTGGCTGGAAGGGATAATGGTTCTCAGAAAACGGCCCGCGCAAATCATGAACCTCCTTCCCTACTTATTCTCATTAATTGTTGTATATTTTGCAAAGCATTTTGCTGAAAAACGCCGTCGGGGCTTGTAGAACGATAGGTATATATTAACGAAGCTACGAAAGAGTTTGTCAAATGAAAACGCTTGAAAGCAATGCATCAAGAAAATTGTTTGCCATTTTGAAAATGCGCCAGCGAAAGGAACATGAAAACTACCCAGGGATCACAGCAGGCTCACGGATATATAGACCTGGCATTACCACGCATATAATTCCCTCGCAAAATGTTCCTTACTTGATAAGTACACGGGAAATGAAATGAAAGGCATTCACCAGAATGAATCTATATCACCATCCTCCGTGAAATAATAATTTTCGTCATTCAAGCAAAGATTCGAAGGTGACCTACTCAAAATATCGCAATGATGAAATGACGATTCATAAAATATAATTCGACTCCGGGATGCATTTTTATATTTTATCTTACCGCTTTACAGAAATACATCATGTACTGTATGTACGTATAAGTACCATGGCTCAACACGAAATCTCTGGCCTATTCCAAATCATTAAAGCAATATGTAATCATTAGACCATGCGAGAGAGAGAAAGAGAAAAAAAATCTCTAAAACGATTTCTTCGTCCCTTGAATTTTAGAGTCCATCTGTACGTATAACCTTACTCAGCAAGAATCTCGAATTGATCAGTCTTGTAAAAATGCGAGGCATCAAAAAATTGCAGGAAATATTTTCATATTTTCAGGAAAGTGTCTCTTCAGTATCATCTGAACTCGTGAATCGACGTTTTAGAAGCATTTGCATTTCGTTTCCAATTCATGAGAAGCATCTTTCTTGGAAACACTTTTTGAAGGATTAATTTAGGAAGAGGATTATACGGTATATTCACGAAAGACGTTCCGCGTCGCAGTTTTAATATTATTTCCCTGCATTCTTAAACAAAACACCCACCACAATAGAGTCGATTTCCAGAATGTAAAATAATTACTGTTATTTAAAAAAAATACGGAAAATGACCCACAGTATGAGTGTGAACTTATATTTTTGAACAAGATAGACGAGATGCAAGAACCCGTCGCTCCGTTTTTTGGGGGGAAAAGAAAAGGGTAAATTTCTCCATCTCTGAAGATACAATATTTACATTTGAAACGAATTGCATTCTAGCATCGGTTTGAATCCAGAGATGTTTATATACATAAACGAAGCTATACGAAAGAGCTTGATACTAAATACTACACCTTCCGGAAACCTTTGCCATTTCTCATGTCATTTCCTTCAAAAGCTGAAATTGCGGAAGAACCGTTCATCCTGCAATTCCCGTCTCGACGGAAGCCCCGATTCGCCTACGCCCACGGACAACACCCAATTCCGTCGGTGGATTCGTCTGTGAATTCTCGAACCCATCCTCATGAATTCATGGGTTAGTTTCGAATCTGCACCGCACCTCTGTATCCTTCAGAAGTAACCATCGGATCGCGAAGACATGCTTTCTCTTAGCTAACACGCACTGATGCAGCTATTTATAGATTTGCTCAGCGACTGGGATTTCTTCTTTGGTGGAAAAATTTTGATTTGTGTGGCTTCAAGAAATTTGAAACTGTTCCCACACATTCGACTCAATTTTGTCTCTGTTCCCGAATGGCGCAATCCGGGGAAACGGAGCTCAACCGTTCGGCAAATGTATTCAAAAAAATATGATGCATAATTTTATAAATCGGACAGTAAGACTTTTTATTATTCACGGGCTGGAATTGAACCATGTCCAAATGTCAAGACGATCAATTGACAGAAAGCAACCCATATAATTATTCTGCATTTGCTTCCTTTTTCCTTCAAAAATCTTCGAGATGAGCTTATAAAAACATTGTTTAAATACAAAATAACAAATAAGACTTCAAGGGACACAAGAGAGGCAAAAGTACTTAAAGATTCCGTTGAAAAAATTCACTAGGGGAATTTCAAAAGCGTGTCGCGTTTCTATTCTTCGGAATGTCATCAATAAATAAATTTGATATCCTTGATTACTTTACGCATTTTTTTATAACCGCGATTTTTTCTAAGATAATCGATCATGCCAAGGAAGTCACATCGCGATTCGCCATTCCAACTTCAAAAGAACCAATTCAGCTGGTATTGAAGTTTCATGGGTCTAAGTGATGAAAAACTAATCCTCAGGCATAATTTTCGAGAAATAAAATGAACATGATTTTAAACAAAAATACAAACAAGATAGTCATCACATTTTTTGATGCACTTCCTTGAAACATCATCCAATATTACATTTGTTAGCTCTTTTGAAAAAAGCTTTCAATTTCATGGAATTAACCGCATCGGTTTCCCTCGTGATACACTGGAACGATTTTAATGTTTCGAAATCGTGGAGTATAATTATTTTTCAAGCTTAAAATTGAGCACATTCTCATTTTTAGAGAAGAATAAAGGAAAAATTGATGCGAAATATGACAAGACCTACGGTTGAAAATTATTACGTTCTTCTTTCGATTACGAAATGATTATATACGTGAAGAAAACGAAAGGATTCCTCGGAATTCTGGTAATTAACTTTTCATTCATTAGTTCGATGCCACCACGAACCACATACGACATAACTTGGCTGCAGCAGGATTCTCTCGTGCTTTCCTAAATAATTTTCTTCGTCCGCCTAATAATGACACTTTACATTCATTTGTTCGTTTTACTATTTGTATTTTTTCGAGCTCAGTCTTTATATTGATTAAATCAGAAGTATAGGGATTACCGTACAGTATTTCAAAAAAAAAAAAAAACATAAACCACAAGATTCATGTCTCGAACATTTTGCCAGACTATTCTCGAGGGCTGCGGAAATGAATCAAGAAAACCTCGACCATGGATCACAGAGCGAAAAGGGCATGAAGTTTTCATATGAATGAAAATCAGCCATGGGGTCCAACTCGGTGGAAGTCGTATCCCTCAAGGTGATCCATCAAGTTTCTCCTCTTCGCATGAGACTTTACTCCAGCCTGA